AAAAAGCGTTTCTCTCCCTATTAGCATACACGATGGCTTGGTTTAAAGCCCAGAGGATTTTCTTCCCCTAAATCACCTATTCAAACCTGTATGATGGCAGTTTATTTAAATATAAATTTAATCTTGCTTTGCATTTAATTTACATGCTTTCAGAGTTCAGCCTCACTGGTCATTTTAACCATTCTAGCGTACTGATCTGCCAATAAACAAGAATTTGCACACACAACCTTTCTAAAAAGAAAAAAAAAATTCATTGCATCTACGTTGTTTAGATGTATATTGGGCTCTAAAACTATATCAAGACTCAGTCTGACTAACGTCACGCAACAACTCGTTCCTTATTAACGGTATCAAGATTTGCCCACGTCCGCTCTAAATTTGTTTTTGCAAGGGAGACAAACGTACGCACCTGCAGGACACGCCAGACAACAGCCTCCCAAAAGGAGCATCCACCAAAGCACGCGCTTAAATCACTGAAACCGGAGTTTGAGCCGGCCCAGAGCCCCGCTGCAGCTCGCTGGCTTTGCGCAGCGGGAGGCGGTCCTCGAAGGAGCAGGACGCGGATGCGCGGGGCTCGACGTTTCAGTACGCGCCTGTCCCCACTGCGGAGGCCGTGCTGAAAGTCTCACCAAGAGGCTATGAAAAACTGGAAGAGCAGACACAAACCTCCCCAGTTTTCAGGAGAAGCAACTTTATCTTCCTACCTGCTTTACTCTCTTTTTTGGGTTTTTTTTGTTTGTTTGTTTTTTTGTTTCAGGGCTAGGTTGTTCCTTTTTTGTAGGCTGGGAAAAGATGACAAGCCTTCCTGTTTTCAGCGACAATGAGTCTGAAACAATAATTCCAGCTAGAAAAATAAGAGTTCTTTATACCCTTGCCAACCGTACCGAAACCAAAAGCGATTAAAAGCAAAAGCATCTCTGAACAACAGAAACTGAAAGTACGGCCTTTGGAAAACTGTAAACATCAGCATTTTCCCCACAGTAAGCAGCGAAAGTAAGATAATTATTGTAGTCTAGGACACTATAACATTGATAAAGCTTCGGCTCATCATACACAATTCACCTTGATGCTACGCCCATTTTAGTACGGTACTTTTTAAAACTCGTTGCCATTTGCATAGGCCACACTGACGATTTTCTTCACTTCAATTTTGAATCGGCAATCTGTTCTGAGACCTAAAAATAATTGAAAATAGTTAGTTTTAAATCCCTCTTAGATTAATAACATGAAATTAACCCTGCCTCCATTTTAGCTACCTCTCTTGATAAGTAGTACTAGCACACGCAGTTAAAACCACTCCTGTTTTATATTTGTACTGCTGAAACGCAGAGACTGCAGTACTGTTAAATAAGGGGTGCGTTTGTCCAAAGCAAACTTTATCAGGAGGAAAAAACAAAAAGGACGCTTAGAAACGCAAGTTAACGCAACAGCTCCCAAAAGGTTTCAAGAACATTTTTATTCTCTGTGCCACTCGCAAAAAAACATCGTTACTCACTTTCTCCCTTCCTCCAAGGGCCCTCAGGCGAGTTGCTCTGCTCAGGAAGTCTCTGAGAGCTGAGACCGTTCAGAACCACTCAAAACCCGAACCCACGCAAAGATCAAATTCGGCTTGGGAGCACCGCTACCGCACATCACGGGAGGCAGATGGCAGCGGACCGTAGCTCTTAGTAGACAGATTCACATACAAATACATTTTGCAAGGAGGATGAGGTGCCGCTCAGCAGGTGGCAAGTGGCTCATTTTTAGCACAACTGTTGAAAACATTATATTACACTAATAGAACTGGCATTTATCTTTCCATGGAAGCAGATTAATTATAAGATGCTGTCTGCTGGCTTCTCAAGGCCTGTCTGCTTAACTGATATGTTGCGCTTTCGCTATCAGGCCTTCCTCTGAAGGGGTACTGTCCCCGTCACCACAAAGACGCTCTGCGTTGGTGGGACGGGCAGAGGTCTCACCTTGCCACTACCTGAACAAACAACGCTCGGCGACTACTGCAGACCAGAACACGCCACATCACGCCCCAGACTGGAACCCTAAACGCTACAGACTCACGCAAGGCAGCTCCTGCTGCAGAAAACATCCTGGCTCCTCGTCCAAGGCAAAGAGAAGGTGGAAGAGCAGGAAGAAGAGGAGGGAGGGAAGTCCCTTCATCAAGGTCAGGCAGGAGGAAGAAGGCTTGTTCCCCTCTCCAACCCCATCCGCAGCAGCTCACAACTGCTCCCAACCTCGGAGGCTGCCTTTAGATGTGTAGTTGTGCTATAATCCTTAGCCTTCTCCCTGGTACAAAAGTTTCCCCTATGGAGACCTCTGAGTCCCTAGCGTAGTTCTCTGCCCAGGAAGGGATGTCCTCTTCTCTGAGGGCCCATCAGCCCCCTGCCATGGAGTGGCAGCAGAGCCCTGGGGCATCCCCAGCTGCCACCCCAGGCCAGGGAACAAAGGGGGCTGTCCCGTCCCATGCTGCTGCCAGGCCAGGGCAAAGGCAGGAGGAAGCGATGTTCTCATGCTGTTTCTGCAGAGTCAGAGACGCTGACAGCACAATTTTGCAGGAATAAATGAACTAGCGAAATTGTTCCTAGCAAACACTACAGTTGTTTTAGCTCAGTCTACTGCTTTTGCGCAATCTGCATTAATAAATACTAAGCCCTAACAAACGTCAGCTGCGGTCCATCAGCTTCCGACCATGGATACTCACAGGAGTCCTTCACCCTGAAGTGATGGTATTTTCCATTCTCACCTTAAAACAATAAGGAGATAAGCAAGCATCTCAAAAACAAACAAGAGAGAAATAAATAAATCCAAAATCCTGAAGAAGTCAGTAATCAGAGGAACAGGCACCAGTATGTGCCAGGAAGCAGAGGGAATTAATCAACAAGCAAGATAAATGCAGCAGTTAACGAGAAAACATAAGCAGCTCAGAAGGGCACCTAGACAGATTTTCCTATCTGATATTTGCAGCATTTGGACCCTCGGCAGAGCTGCTGAGGTTATATTCCCCGAGGAGCACAGGGTCCTGGCCTTACCGTAACAGCCCGATCCAAAGGGCGGGGAGAGAACGCAAACAACAAAAGGCTTCCAGAAAGCTGCCTGGGCTGCTGGCAGCTTCGCAGGAAAGGATGCAAAACCTACACGAAATTCAGAGGAAAGCCGAAGCTACCAGGCGAGCTCCAGTGAGACAAAGAGCAAGTCCAGGAGGGCAGGGGGGCTCACGGCCCTGAATGCTGGGCCTCTCTTTCAGCCTGCTCACAGCAACGTGGTTAAGTAAACCTCAGCAGTGAAGCTACAGTTGAGTGGGGGGGAACCACCTATTTCACCTGTTTTACATAATTAAGATCACCCGGTTTCTCCCCACCGGGGGATAGGCATTAATAGGAGGACATCAGCCACCACTGTCTTTCCATATAAACTTGTCACCTCGTTTAAGCACGGAAGCAGATCTTCCACCTAGGCTAGAGAATGGAGACCTCTTCCAGGACTGTCTTGGACTTTGCTACACCTAGAAAGAGCTTTTTATTTGCCAAACGGTCTCCCTCCTTCCCCCTCCTAGGGGTCACTATTAAGTAAAATAGGAGACCGGGGTGCGAAGCGTTTCAACCTGCTGTTCTGATTAGGCTGCAGGAGAA